ACGGGCGGCCCCCTGCCCCCGGGCCCCCAGCCGCCAGCCGGGCACTTCCCCTCCCGGGCTCCAGCGGCGCAGGGGCCGGAGGCAAGGGGGCTGCCCGAAGCCCGCCCGAAGCCCATAGCGTTCGGGCAGCTCGGCTCTTAAACAGAGCTGAAGAGTCAGGGGAGGAGCAGAGCCGCCGCGGGAGGGGAAGTGCCTGGCCGGCATTTTCCCGGACATGTTCGGCTTTTTGGCAATTCCCCCGGACGGGGGTTTGAGTGCTGAAAAGCCGGACATGTCCGGGAAAAACCGGACGTATGGTAACCCTACTCACCAGCTGTTCAGTAAACAGGCCAGGAAACATCCTAAGACCAGCATCACGGGACAACCAAAAACCTGGTTTGGATGAATGAAATTTAATGCTGCCTGCTGAACAATCCTCAAAAGTCCTGACTAACTTTTCTGGTGGTCTGTGGCTGAAAATTAAAACTAACCTCCCATTTCATTTGCCTAAAGCCCCACATACAGCTGAAGAAATTGATTATTTAATCTGCTTGTCTGCTACATCACTAAATTCCTGCTTAGGTTCTATTAAGTCAGTTGTGCCTCATACTGGAATTTGAGAAGCGCGCGTAAGGTTATTCCTATATGGCTAAAAAAAAAAAAAAAAATTTAACATATTTTCTTGGCAGCCAGTCAGTTCAAGATCCAGGATAAGTCACCTGACACCCCTTCCCCCTCCAAAACAGCTATCAGCAGAGATCCTCTACAGACACATTTCCTTCTTGCTCAGGACACTAAGCCTCTGGTGGAATATGCCTTTTTATTGATCAGTTGTATATTCAACCATATACAACAGGCTCTGTAGGAATCCTAGTTCAGGTACTCGGTATATGGTGGTTTTAGTATATTTCTGGAACAACTGTATAGAATACGATGTTTTGAAATCAGAGGCCGCTTTTCCTATTTAGGGAGAAATGAAGTGCCAAAATTATGCTTGGCCTTGGAGATAAACTAAGGTGAAAGATGTACCATTTACATATAACAATAACACTACCTTTGAATGTGAAAGCTGGATTGCCCTAATGGCTAATTTTTTCTTGGTTGAACATCAGAAAGTCTACAGGATAGGGCTACTGCAAGATCCCAAACCCGTGTTATACTGCACTCATCAAAACCTAGATGGACAGATTAGATAGAACCAGCTGGGATGAGGAAATGGCTACCAGAAAGGCATAATATGCACTTATAGTTAAGTGATATTTCTTTTTTGTCCACGTGGCAAAGAATCCCAAACATACATGACTGTTGTATGAACAAAAATTAACATGTTATATACTGAGGATGAGAGTGTGACTTTATTGGAGCTACCACTGCGGAACAAATCATAATGTATTTTAGGGATGATAAAATACTTCACTTCAGCATCAAAGAGAGTCTTCTATAAACGACAGGGCTATTGAAGTGCACTGCATACTTGGCGTACATACTGTGTCAGGTGGACACACATTAAGATGTATTAGAGTCAAGACAGTGTGGTTCAGATCAATAACTGAGTATATCAACAGGAAGATTCGGGACTCAGCTAGGACTTGAACAGAGAATTTTCAGCTCCAAATACACAACTTAAAATGAATTTCCATTAGCTTTCAGTAGCAGTACAGCTTATATCTTTTCAGCCTTCGAGCCACCAGTGAGTGAAGTTCTCACAACAGCCATAAATCACACAGAAGGATGACTACATTTTGAAGTGTCTTATAGGTGCTATCTGCTCTACAAAAATAAGTATGGTTAAACAAGGGTTGTGAGGCAACATTTTTTTTATGTCCTCATGGAAAATGAAAAATATTGTATTACACTGTTGAGCCCTAACAGCAGCTAAACATATTGTTAATCCTTAACAGTGTGCTGATTCAGGCCCTTCCAATCTCTCTCCATTACCCTTTTTGGGGGATGATTTAAAGGTGTATCTATATTATAAGAGCCATTAACTGTAAGGAAGGTTATGTGATCTAATATTTATTTTATTACTAATTCGGTTGGGAAAACAGAACTATAACCTGAATATGGGAGAGTGTTACATATTAGGATGTCAACAGCGCTATCTAGAGCCAATAAATACATCAAAACCTATTTGATCTGGTGACAGGTTCTATGGTACCAATGGAAACAAAGAACAAGACAGTGGAGTAAACTTTTTCTTGAATAAAAGGGATGGTATCCTCCTATGCCCTTGAGGCTGGCTTGAAAATGTAGTGTCACACGTGTTCACCGTGGTTGACACCCACTTGTCAATGAAGACTGATGCACAATCCTCCCTTTAAAGAAGGGTGGGGGGCAACAAACCCCCTCCCCCAGATATTGCACAGTAAAGGCAGACAGAAAAATCAGCTTCTTGTTAGAATTTGCTTCATCTGAAGGCAAATGAAATTTCCCTTGAAAATAAAATAAAGGAGAAGGGAAGGGACCTTTGAAAGAAGGACAGCCCGTGTTAAGGAGTGGTGCAGAGATAAATGGCGCGTCTCGAGAAGAGAATCTTTATCATCTGTCACGTCATTAACAGAGCCCTGTACTCTGCAGACTGCCAGGGGGACCATCACGTGTTTTTATTATAAAACCATCCTCTGCCCTTACTGGTTGTTGGAGCACAGAAGGCCATGAAGGAGGATTGGCTTCTCAAAGAGTGGAACCCCTTCTCAGCACCAGGATGGCGAAAGACAGACATGCTATATTTTCTCCTTTGCATAACTGCGAGACTCACATCTGGATCCCATAGTATTTTATGGATCTCATGAGTAGACCATAGGAAATTGTAATCCTGCACCTCTGCCTTGTGGGATTGATCCAGGATTGATCCAAATGCAGTTTTTCTCCTCTGAAAGGTAAAAGCTAACATTTTTTGACATTGCAGAGAGATGTGCTGGCCCATGGTGCAATCATAGGGCTCTTCTGGCTATCACATTAATCATCATGACTTTAGGCATAAATCTTCAGATACTCCTGTTCCTTACAACATAAATAACCAGACTCAGAAGAATTTTTCTCCCACTGTCATAGGGAATAGAAAACAAAGAGAACAGACAAGCGGATTTTAATACACAAAGCTTTGCAGGATATGGCCATAAGACTAGCCATAAAGCAGCATGTCCTGCACAGAGCATTTATGAGGTGGAATGGCAGTGTTAACCAGGCTACTCTGGATTTACTTACACCATGACATCCTTGTTTCATAGAAGTGCAGCATATGCCCATATCATTCTATGACATTGCACACATTGGTGTAATTACACCAAAGTACAAAGTGTAAACTTTTTTTTTTAAAAAGCTCGTGATGGATTTACTAAAAGAACAAAATCAGTTTAAACCAAAGACACACTAGGACAACTAAAAGAGCACTCTATTAACTGACTTTTCTGAAAGAGTCTTTGTACACTTTGACAAAAGTCCATCTTCACATTTCAGACTGCAATTTATTCTGAATATGAATAGCATTGTGGGAGGGTAAAACATACAGAATATTAATGCCATAATTACCTTTTAGAGACCGGTCATGATTCTGCTTAAGTACTGAGGTTAAGTAATGAGGACAGGATGACCTACTGAAAAGAAAAAAAATTTTACTAAAACCATAAATAGTACTAAATTTAATATACTGTGACTAGATGAAGTGAAGAAATTTTTATACCACAAAAAGTTAAAAGAAAAAAAAGTCATTAAAATAGGAGAGGTAAGCCAAGGAAGCCCCACAATTTCTACTACTTTTGGTAGCTAAATAGTAAGCAAGCCAGTCTGATTACAGAACTATATAGATTTATAATCAGGACTCAAAAAAGCCCATTCACTTTGGGGTGATTAGGAAACTTTGCTTGGCCAGCCATCAACTTGTGCAGATTCTAAGTGTTCATTAAAAATTTTTAAAAAGCTCTAGCCTTTATGGTTGTGAAGAAACTTTCTAAATATGACTTAAGTGTAAATCAGTGCAGTGATGTCCAGAACTCAGGTGCCTCTACTGTTGCTAAGGATTTTGCCAGGCTGTAGCTAAATGAAGACTGTTAAGAGTCCTGTCAGTTTCATTGCTGCTAACCAAAATGTAGTGGTCAATGACAAATTAAGTCAATCTCACTCTGCAGTTGCTAGAGAAAGCTCTGAACAGAAGTAGAAGCAGGCAATGGAACTTTTTACTGGAGAGGAGGATTCAAAACCTGAGGCTAAGGGAGCAGTAAAGCAACACAGATACGTGCCTCTTCCCTTCCCAGCAGCCAGGAGGCTTGGAAGTGGGGCAAAGTAAAGCACTCCCAGGCCACGTCTACACCACCTGCCGGATCGGCAGGTAGTAATCGATCTATTGCGTCTCGTTTAGATGCAATAAATCGATCCCCGAATCGACGCCTGTACTCCACCTCAGCATGAGTAAGCGGAATCGACGGGGGAGCTGCGGCGGTCGACTTGCCGCCATGAGGACGGTCAGGTAAGTCGAACTAAGATACTTCGACTTCAGCTATGCAAATAGCGTAGCTGAAGTTGCGTACCTTAGATCGAACACCCCCCCCCCCCAGTGTAGACCAGCCCCCAGACACACTAATAGCCAGAAGACTACAGTGGAAGGAAGGAACAGAGAGACTTCTTTTTCCAAAGGAAATGGGGAGCAGAGGAGAGGGCCTTCAAATGTAATCAGACACTTAAGCCCCCAAACGGGGTCCAGGGACAGGTGAGGGGAAGTTGGCTTGTCTCCTAGATGTTGCCTTTGGAGACTGTGTGCTCCTCCACCCCCATCTTCTCTGAGACACTGAAGACAATGCAGGAAGTGATACACGGTAATATTACAGAAAAGACAAAAATGAGAGAAAAAAGAAGAAAAGGAGGAATAGAAAGAAAGAAAGATATGTAGTAAGCAGGACTGCTTAAGCAGGACTTGACTCATACATTAATTGACAAATTTCACAAGTATTTGTCAAATAAAATCGACAGATACTTTTTTGTATTATCTGACCAGCTCTAAAGCTGGCCATATACTATTCTGTGAATACATTATTCAATACAAACAAGTGAAATTAACCAAGTAGTATATTCAGAAAATATTTTTGATATTCAACCAGCCCTTGTAGTATGTTAAATTTCATTAAAAATGTATACAAAAGAAATTTGATTAGCAATATGTTGCTAATCATGTCCATTCCACAATAGGTGTGCGTGCTCGCCCCGTGCACCGGAAGTTTTTCCTTTAGGAGTACCCATAGGGGAGCACTCCTAGCAACCCCTGGAGTGGCGCCGCTATGGCACGGTATAAGGGGCTCTGCGCACTCCCCCCATCCTCAGTTCCTTCTTGCCAGAAAACTCTGACAGCGGGGAAGGAGGGCAGGATGTGCAATGGACATGAGCAACACATCTCGAAGAACACCAGTTACGGAAAAGATAACTGTCTTTTCTTCTTCGAGTGATTGCTCATGTGCATTTCACAATAGGTGATTCCAAGTTATATCTGTTGGAGGTGGGTAGGAGTTCACAGACACTCAGGACGGAGCACCGCCCTACCGAACCCGGCGTCCTCCCTAGTTTGGGAGACGATCGCATAATGCGAGGTGAACGTGTGGACTGACAACCATGTGGCGGCCCTATAAATGTCCTGAATAGGGATGTGAGTCAGAAAGGCAGCCAACGAGGCTTGCACCCTAGTCGAGTGCACCCTCACAATTGGTGGAGGGGGAACTCCCGCCAGGTCGTAACAAGTATGGACACACGAAGTGATCCAGTTGGAGAGCCACTGAGTGGAGATCAGCCGACCTTTCATGGGCTCGGCCGTGGAGATGAACAGTTGCGAAGACTTCCTGAATGGTTTTGTACGTTCCAGGTAAAAAGCCAGAGCCCGTCTCACATCTAGACTCTGGGTGCCATTGAGAGATCAAACAGGAGGACGGTGAAGTGTTCCTGTCCTACTGTGAAGTGGAGGAAATGCCTGTGGCCCTCGAATATATGAATGTGGAAGTACGTGTCCTAGAGATCGAGGGTGGTGTACCAGTCTCTGGGATCCAGGGAGGGGATGATGGAGGCCAGAGAGACCATGCGAAACTTGAGCTTTACCATGTACTGGTTCAGGCCTTGCAGGTCCAGGATGGGTCTGAGCCCCCCTTTTGCCTTCGGCATAAGGAAATAGTGGGAGTAGAACCCCTTGTATCTGAACTCTGCCGGCACCACCTCCACTGCCCCTAAGTGAAGGAGCCGCCCCACCTCTTGCTCAAGTAAGCTCGCGTGAGAGGGGTCCCTGAAGAGGGACGCAGAGGGAGGGTGGGTGGGTGGGGGTAGAGAGAAACTGGAGGGTATAGCCCAGGGAGATTGTGTTGAGGACCCATTGGTCCGAGGTCAGCAGCGACCACTCTGGGAGGAAAGTACATAGGCAGTTGGAGAAGGGAAGGTCGGGTGGATCTCTGGTACAAACTGGTAAGTCATCCCTGGGTGTCATCAAAACTGGCACTTACCTGCCTGCTTGCCCTTGGAGGGCCCAGGCTGGGGTGCAGGCCAAGACTGCCGCTGTGAGCACTTTTTATAGTCCCTTGATTTTTTAGAAGGGGGCTCGTATCTGGAGTGGGTGGCCTGACTGGGGGCTTGCTGCGGCTTGAACTTGGTCCTGGCTGGGGCTGGGACATAGAGACCAAGAGTCTTTAATGTTGTGCGGGAGTCCTTGAGACCGTGTAACTTCAAGTCTGTTTGTTCCACGAACAGGGCCTTGCCATCGAATGGGAGGTCCTGCAAGGAGGTCCTGCAAGGAGCTCTGTGCCTCGCTGGACAACCCAGATAACAGGAGCCACAGCGCTCTTCTTATGGACACATTGCAGAGGCCATAGATCTTGCACCCGTGTCCGCAGTGTCCGAGGCTGCCTGAAGGGTTGCTCTGGCAGCAGCTGTGCCCTCCTCAACCAGAGCCTTAAACTCCTTCTTATCACACTCCTGGAAGGAGTCCACAAACTTTGGCATTGAGCCCCAAAAGTTAAAGTCATACCTGTCCAGCAGGGCTTGGTGGTTCACCACCCTCAGTTGGAAGCTCAAGGAAGAATAAATCTTTCTACCGAACAAGTCTAGTCTCCTCGAGTCCTTATTCGTAGGGGTAGGAGCAGGTTGGCCCTGACACTCCTTATGGTTGACCGCCTCAACCACTAGAGAGTTGGGGATGGGGTGGGTATATAGATACTCATGCCCCTTAGCAGGCACAAAATATTTTTGTTCGGCCTTTTTAGAGATGGGGGGGTAAGGAAGCCGGGGTCTGCCACTGGGCATTCGAGATCTTTCCCACCCCTTCGTGGAGTGGGAGAGCCACCCTGGCTGGCGCTGTAGCCAAGAGGACATCAAAGAGTTCCTCCACCACCTCAGCTTGTAGGTTGAGGCTTAATGCCACCCTTTTCAAAAGTTCTTGGTAGGCTTTGTGTCCTCCTGAGGGACAGGAGGATGAGGTGCCATGATTGCCTCATCGGGGGAGGATGAGAATGGGGGTGTGGTACACTACGTCCCCACCAGAGCCGCAGGTCCCAACACTTGGTCCCCTTCTGAGCGCGGCACCGAGGAGAAGCGCTCCACTGACCCCCTTCATGGGTGGCTGAGGAGGCCAATGGTCTTTTTGAGGCTCCGGCCACTGCACGAGCCACAACCGGGCGCTGTGTCGGGGCCCACGGGGCCCATTGGTACCAGGGTGCTGGCCAGGGAGCTCAGTGCCACTGCACCTGCTGTGGCACTGTCGGAGCAGACTGCCCCGCCTGACCCAGCTGGCTCACTGACTGTCTGGAGGCTGGGCTGGCATACGATCTACCGCTATCCCGGGATGGGGATGAGTGACAGTGTCGCAAGCAGTGCCAAGCTCGAGCTCATGATCCCGGCATGGAGGACCGGGAGTACTGTCTGTAATGGCTGCTCCACGAACGGCTCCGACGGGTGGATCCGCGACAGCTGGTTGCCGGCGATCTACGCCTGGGGCTGCGGGAGTGACCGGGACAAGGACTGAGAGCGACATTGGGGCTACAATAGCTTCTCGGAGTCAGAGACCCCCAGTGCCGTCTGTCCTGGTCCCGACAGGGCACGCTCTGATCACGAGGTCTGTGCTCCCTCAAGGCGGAGTGCAGCCTGGACACCCTGCTGCTCGGCACCCAGCCAGCCAACCTGTGGGCTGCGAGCGGGACGGTCACTGTGTGGAGAGCAGCGTCGGGAACCTTCCCTCAACCGTGAGTGGTACCGTCCAGGCGGAGACTGTGGAGATCCGAGCGCCGGCTTGCCTCTGGACCAGGGAACTGCTGGTGTCAGTGCAACCTGTACTGGTAGAGACATTACGTCTCGAGCCACCTGCAGGGCCTCCGGCATGGAGGGCACCTGAATGTGGCCACTGGCGTCCGGGGAGGTTGGCTCGGAGTGGGCTGGGCTACTCGGCTTGACCTGAGTCAGAGGCCACGAAGTCGATGGGGATCGAGAGCTGCCCAACACGGGTCTAGTCTCGTCCACAGCCTTGCCCTGGTGCCTTAATGGAGAAGACCTCTTCTTCGTCTTTTTAGAGTGTCCCGTGGATGGGGAGCAGTGCCGACTGGTGGAAGGCAGTGTTGGGTCACCGCGCACTGATGCCGCA